ATGCATGTGTAATGAGCTTATTCTCGTAGTTTCTTGTCTTACGATTTCTGTTATTATTCGTTGTTTCATGTGCTTCGGTTATCACATTATTTGGCTACTGCTATTGTTCCTTGTCTTTACTTCTGTTTGATATGTGTTACTTGAACCAATGGTCTTTTAGAAACAACCTCTTAGCTTTGTGTTCCTTGAGTATGTTTCTGCCCTAAACTAAGAAACAGTATAGTGCTCGTTTTGATAAGAGTATTGCATACTATCTGCTGGAATGTTTTCAATGTCCCCCTTATGCAACTATGGGAATTTCTTCTAGTTCGCTAACTGTCTTTTACTACGGTTCACGTCTGTCCTTGAACTGACCAAAAAGCTTTCTATTTGAATGGAATTCCACAATTGCATAAGATTCGGTCTTGAACGATTATACTTTTGGTTAATTGGTTAGGTGTCGATAGCAACATAACCTTTGCTTTGGTCTATACAATGCGTAGGGGTAAAGGTCTGTGTACATACTAACCTCCTCAGACCTCACCTATGGCATTAGACTGGGTATGTTGTTGTTGTAGTGGGCCTTGCTTTGTTTAAACACAAAGAACTATCATAGAAGATGTTCCTATTTCCAATACCCCTCAAAGGTTGTTACCAAGGTTTATTCATGTATATATATTATCTGCATAGGGGGTATTGATGGGATTTGCTTTTTGTCCTAAGTGCAATGCTTACTTTATATGTTTGTTTTGATGATACTATTAGGTGCGAAGAGATGTGAGACTCCTCCAAACAGCTAACTTGGAGGAGGTTTTGAGTGCCTCCTTTCAAGTTCTTAACGGAAAAAGACCCAAGCAAAAAGTGCAGCTTTTGGGAAGGTACTTTAGACCCCTTTAAAGTACCTACATTTTGTTTTAAGGTTTTTATTATTATAGTTTTTGTAGTGATCATATGCCAAGTTTTGGAATTTTGATTACATCATAAATGTATACCACCTTTTCATATCTGTCAATGAGTAAATTTTGATTGGAGATGAGCGCTCCTCATACTCTTGCATTTTTCTACTCTTATATTGATGTCTACCACTTTCTGTCAGTGAAACAATTGAACAGACCTATAGGGAAGCTTACTGAAATTGCCTTCCTTACATATATGATTGTTATCAATAATCATCAATCTCTTTGTATTGTTTGCAAGTGCAAATGTTTGCTGATTATGATGTTTGAATGTTGCCTGGCTCTACCATTTGTTTAATTAAATAGTCTACCATCATGTTGTTAAAAATTGTTGTTTATGTGACCTATAACAATATTTTTGCAAGTTTTATCCATCATTTCATTAACCGACATATTGGAGGGTAATACTCTAACCAGTAACAAGCGAGATTAGTTTTACTGATCCCACTGTCATGGAAATAGAATTGCCATTATTTATGTCTTGCTCTTCCATTAAACTATACATACAAACTTTCACTGCCGCTTTCTAACTTATGATGATTTTATATATATTGAACTTTCACCCTCATTTTCTATTGACCTCAGCCTAAAGAGGAGAAGATCTAATGGTGGCAAATATAACTTTCTGGAGCGTCTTTCAGGGGTTGCACACCTGTTGTCTCAGGTATCATTGTTTCTTTTGTTCATACTTCTTGTTGTTCAACCACTCATCCAAGTCTGTAAAGTAACTCATGATAATGAATCGCCAGTCTCAGTTTACCATGTTAGCGAAATCTCCTGCTAGCATTTACTGGCAATACGCCCTAGTTTTCATTTATAAAAAGGGTAGTCCGGTGCATGAAGCATTATACATTCACGTTGGAACTTGGAAAGGGTCGTACTCGCACCCCTTAATGTAGGCAGTCTATCCGGATGCAAGCTTTAGTGGTTGATTCCAGGGCTCGAACCTTGTCACATGGAGAAAACTTATCATTGCTCCAAGGAACGTTTACCAGTAGAAAATATAGATGACTTCTATTTAGAGTACCTAAGGTATTGAATAGAGACGAGTCTTAATGGAATAATAGGATTCATGTAGCTGACTCTAATTCACCTAGGATTGAATCGATTGAGGCATAGTTATTATTATTCCATATAACTACAGGAATGGTGATTTCTCTCTCTCTCTATTGAATCAAGTGTCTTAACATACGGGGCTTAATAAGAATCATATTACAACAAGGAAAACTTGAAGTCATCATTTTATGAAGTAGTAATTCCTAATTCACTTGTTCTTTCTTGCAGATGGTTGAGCCAATGTTAAGGGCCGCTGCGTATCCTTCTTGCTTTTTTTTTTATTGCATATTAATACTTCCTTTTATATGTTGATTATGGGATAAGATTCACTTATGGAAATTGATGGCCATTAATGCCATTGGTGATTTCCTTTTAGACTTTTAAATCTTTAAGTAATAGGAAGAGCAGAGCTTGAGTTGTTCATTTTCTTTCATAATTCTTAGGGTGTGTAGGTGATTGGAGTAAAATCAGGGTGTTTTTGTAAACACCGTGAGTGCTTACTTATGTGCATATAGCAAACCTTTTCTGTTCTTCAAATTACTAGATTTTTGCACAGCTAATTCTCTGTAAACATATCGGTTTGATAAATTGGTGTAGTTGGATATTTATTGTACCTCCTTTCTTCCTTTTTATTTTCCATTTCTTCATAATTTCATATGTATAGTCTTTGTCTCATTTGTAGGTTGACTTTGTTTTTCACCTTGTGCGGATTGCTTTTCATTTCAAAGTAGACACTCAATCATTGTGCCTGTTTAATGCAAATTCCAATGTGGATTGTTAGCCATGTATGATTGTTTTTTACCCTTAACAGTAGACAGGGAGATATCAACACTTCTTGCACGATCATTTTTTATGGGATTTTCACTGACAGTATTGTCCTTGCTTGCCCGAATTAGAGTTCTAGTTCAGCAAGTAAGCATTCTCAGGATAATTTTATCATTTTCTGAAGTGTGAAATGTTATGTGAACTCATGAAGAATGGCACCATTTTAAAGCTCATTCCTTAGTCATACTTATAATAATAAAGGTCTTGCACATGGATTGTGTTCTTTTGAAATTTGAGTTTGTTGAAGTTCTAGTTTCCAGTAGAATACACTGGAGTCATGGTAATTTCTGGAGCTTATTATATAGAGAAACTAATCTAATTCAAGAGGGGAATGGGTCATGTATGACCTGAGAATTTTGCTCTTTTAGAGCATGCAATATTTAAGGAATTGAAAAGCTTATGTCGAGCAAATTTCCTTAGGATTTCTGGTAATTGAATAGGAAATTCTAAGCAAATTTTCTTTGTTCATTGCAGATGCTTCTTGATGTTGTTTGTGTATTCAACAATGTCTCCTCTTTATCTCAGAGGGAACAAGCCATAAAATTGACTCAAGATGGATTTGAGGTTTTTTCTTTGCTACTGACTGCTCTCTGTTTTTCTGATGCAATGCAGTAAATTATTTCCTTCCTTATACTCCCTTTGTTTACTTGCTTTTTTGATTGGTTAAATTTGTTCTGTTAATGTCAAGAAATGGTTGGAAAATTTATGAGAATTATTCTTCTCACAAGTCCAATGATGAGATAGGAAAATTGATAGTACTTCCTTGATAGTTGTTAATAACAACTCTAAGATGAAATCAAAGAAGCAAATGCTCAATAATTTGTGCATTGCAGGTTTTTAGAGAATACTTTCCGCCAAAGCAGCAGGTGATCTTCCTCGAATGTATATGGGAATCTGATAAGTATATTTTAGTTGAGAGACAAAATCAGAAAGATGTCGGAAGCCAGGAAAAGGAGGTTGGAGAAGATGTTTCTGTAGAAGCATCTAAGGTTCAGTATGAAAGCATTGAGCTTTTCCTAGGAGGTAACCATGTACCACAATTTCTTTTTTACTGTCTTGTTTTCTTTATCAAGTCATTCTATCAGTCTGAGATAGAAGTGAACTCAAGGTTGCACGTGATGATTCCATTGGACATAGTAATATCCAGAGTTTTTCTGTTTGCCAGTTTTTATCATTAAAAAAGACAGCCCAATGCACGAAACATCCGGTGTTCACATAGGACTTGGGGAAGGGCCATATACCCAGGGGATGTAGTGTAGGCAGCGTACCTGACACCAGTTTTAGTCATTCAGTTTGACAATAAAGTTCATGGAAGAAGTGTCTGTTGCATATCTTTCTAGTGTATTCATATATCTAGTGCTTCTTACTCCCTACGATGAAGTTCTTCATTTGTTGCTGAAATCCAGTGTTATTCGTCTATAATTTGGTACGTAACTTTTTCTGGGGTCTTGTGTAGATGACAAACCTGGACAGACGGCCTCTAAAGATTCGGCTGAGGATGGTCAAACTATAAAGGACAACGATATAGTAGATTCCTTGGAGGATCCTATCCAAGATAGTAATGATGAATCTCGAGCTCAAGTTGATTCAACTATTGCAGGACCTTCAGGCAATAATTTTGATACTCCTGAAGCCGGAGCACTTCCAAGTACATCACCCGACAAGAATCCTGCCAAAGCCAAACACGGATCAAGAAATAGTGTTGCATTTGTTTCAGTGAAAAGACCCAAAGTGTCAACAAACAATGAGTTGGGGTTTGATATTCATAGAACAGAAAAGGGTGATAATTCTGGTGTAGATAAAGAAGATCCATTTTTCAGTTTACTTTTTAGTGGAAATGTGAAGACCAGTCTATTCTGAACTTCACCTAAATAGTTTTTCATTTCTCCTTGTTTTTCTCTGTTAACTATGCCGCGGCGCATCTTTGCGTCCATATTTGTGAGTTGATGCTCAATAATGTCCAAATTTGGACAATTTATCCAAATTGGTTTTAAATTTTTAGAGTTGATGCTCGATCATGTCCTTTTTTGAGGGTAGGAAGAAATTTGGAGCATCTGTGGGAGCTGAAAATGAAATGGAGTTTGTTTCTCTTAACACAGTGAAGAACTCAACTGTTAACAGTATTAACACTTTCCAGAGAGCTTACAAGCCAGCAAACAGGTATTAATTTAATGAACACTAATATCATGTACCAAATAAGGCATCTACTAAGTAAACAAAAATACAGAAGAAAATCCTTCATCAAATAAATGTTAATGATTCCAACATGCTATTTGAATTTCATAAAGTAAAACACTTGTATCAAACTGAGGTGAACTAAGCTAGACCCAAGATGCTGCTGAAGCCTTCTCATTCTTGTCTTTGTTTTACACACAAATCAAAATGCCAAAATTCTAACCAATGCCTCGGATTTATGGGTTGCTGTATTGTATGACTCTCCTCCATCCAGCTGTTGATTCTGTTCCAATAGTGTCTCTGAAAATTGCGACATGGTATGAATTTTCAATTTTACTCTGTTATGTAAGAAACAACTACAGTGATGTCGTCCAGCTTCCCACCATGGTAATCAAATCCAGACTCACGAGCTCCATCAGAGAAAGGCGAAGACTTAGTATGATCCATTGCTCTTAGCTGTGCCAGTTCTGCTATCCGCTGAGCAGTCATCTGAGGCCCTAAGCCAGCTTCCATGGCCTGAAATACAACTCCACTGATATCTTCGTCATACAAATTATCAAAAAGCCCATCTGTACCAACAATTAGGACATCTCCAGGTACAACAGTAATGTTGAACACCATGGCAGAGCTAGGTGAATCACCCGCGTTATTGCAATCTAGTTGATATGGGAAATTAAACCCATGCTGTTGTGAAGGGGATTTAAATGCAGCACATCCATTTCTAACCAACATAAATCCGCTATCTCCTAAATTAACTGCATAAAGACCTCCTTCAGTGAGTGCAACGATACACGCTGTAGAAGAGCCTTTTGCTTTTGTTCTCACGTAAGCTTTCTCCAGCACCCTGATTAGGTCTACAGAACCTTTTGGCTCATCTTGAATTGCAGATAAAGAGTGAGACATCAATTCACGGGCATATAGTCCAGCATCAATACCAAGATCAGCCCATCCACCAACACCATCAGCTACACCAATTGCTGGTGTAAGGGTACAAATAAAATGAGCATCCTCTCCACCAGTTTTTGCTTTAGCAGGATGAGGTAGGTAAAAAGATCCCGAGTTTAGCTGCAAGGAGATCTTTGCTTCAGAAGAATTAACAACATCTACAACTTGTTCTGTGCCCTTGGAATTATCAGAAGACACATTAGAAGCAGAGGCAGTTCCAGAAAAGAAACATTCGTGGGATAAATTGCGAAAACCTTCCAATCCAAAGCCTTTGTGTGGGTTGAGGTTAGTCCTCCTCTTTGCAACATTAGTCGTGAAATATTGGTAAAGCATGAAGTTATTGGGCCGTCCTTTGTTTCCCAAACTGATGTTAGCTTTACTAACATTTTGAAAGCCTCTTTTGTTGTAAGAAACAGTACAACTCTTTACTGACAAACTACACTGCAGGCGCCTAGCAGTCATATTGCCAACGAAATGGCCAATATGAGTCCTTGAACCACAAACAGCCATTATGCCTTTCTGAGTATCAATAACAAAAGTAGCTCGGGAAGCAGCAAACCTTCAAGTGCAGAGTTCTGCAAAACCACGGAAGGAAACAACATGAGGTTACATAAGTAGATTGCATTTTCTTCTTTTTAATGGACATAGTAGATAAAGCAATCTGACAAAGCAAGACACACATAACACAAGCTCCTATATCTCCCCTTCAATTAATCTTATAAACAAAAATTTATACTGAGGAGATTGTGTTATCATGTGCAGGCTAGAAAGTGCAAGTTGTAAAGCTTGGCAAATAAAACCTATTAACTTGGAAACAAAAACGTCACACGAAACACGAATATCAAGAAAATTGACTCAGTCAAATTACGAACTAAAAGCACATTCATGAATACAAAATTCCGGGGAGCTCATTAGCAGCCAAAAGTTGCAAAAGAACTTTCCAAAGTGGAACTATTCCGACAATAAGCTTAAAGGCAACAAGAAAACTGTCAACAGTCAACGAAAGAGTGTGACACAGTGAGGCAGCGACAGATAATCAATCGTTAAGGGGCCTGAAGGAGAACTTAGAATTTCAATTGGTTTTTCTTCTCAATCTCTATGTGGAATTCTTGAACAAAAAATCAGAAGAAAAAATTTACACCCTATTTTTATCACAAGTTAATTTTGAGCTTTGTTATCTGGGGTACGCCAAAAATGATGTAGTAACTCAACTACGCATGCCTGTAGTGTAGTTGACCCCCCCCCCGCACACACACACGCCAATAACTTAATACTATCAACTATGCCTGAATCCCAAATTAGTTGACCACAAAACAAAAGTGGGTTTTGAGAATATCACCCTTATTCTTTTCCAATAAACGTGGTACCTAGGCCAGCTTGCGCATAACTCAACTAACTCCAAACCAGTAAAAGTATCATGTGACTCTGGCATAAATTGATTGGTTCCACTCTGGAGTTTAAGGAACTTTTCATACTTGTTTATTTTCAAAATTACAACTTCAAACAGTTAAGAGTGGTTAGAGTCTCTCACTGGTTGGGGAACAAACGGGTAATGAACCAGGGGTCTGTTTATATGGATTTGGGAGATCCTCCCTTCATTAGCTAGCTTTAGGGGTTGAGTTAGGCCTACCTGTCATATCCATCTTTGTTTAGGCTCTCAGTCCACGCTCCAGTTGGTCTGTTTAACACTTCCACAGATGTGAAAAAATTACCTAATATTTTTTACTCCGCTACGATTTGAACATCAGACCTCATGATTCCTGACCCATTCATTGACCGCTAGACCACACCCTCCGATTAAATGTCACCCTTATTCTTGTCAAATCAGCACAGTATATAATTAACAGATAAGAGCACACTAGAAGGAAACAAAAAATGCTGAAAGAAATTCAAGAAAAGACCTTCTGAGTAATACAATGAGGGAATTGGGATTTGAGGTTAGTCCTCCTCTTTGCAACATTAGTCGTGAAATATTGGTAAAGCATGAAGTTATTGGGCCGTCCTTTGTTTCCCAAACTGATGTTAGCTTTACTAACATTTTGAAAGCCTCTTTTGTTGTAAGAAACAGTACAACTCTTTACTGACAAACTACACTGCAGGCGCCTAGCAGTCATATTGCCAACGAAATGGCCAATATGAGTCCTTGAACCACAAACAGCCATTATGCCTTTCTGAGTATCAATAACAAAAGTAGCTCGGGAAGCAGCAAACCTTCAAGTGCAGAGTTCTGCAAAACCACGGAAGGAAACAACATGAGGTTACATAAGTAGATTGCATTTTCTTCTTTTTAATGGACATAGTAGATAAAGCAAAGTGACAAACCAAGACACACATAACACAAGCTCCTATATCTCCCCTTCAATTAATCTTATAAACAAAAATTTATACTGAGGAGATTGTGTTATCATGTGCAGGCTAGAAAGTGCAAGTTGTAAAGCTTGGCAAATAAAACCTATTAACTTGGAAACAAAAACGTCACACGAAACACGAATAACAAGAAAATTGACTCAGACAAATTAAGAACTAAAAGCACATTCATGAATACAAAATTCCGGGGAGCTCATTAGCAGCCAAAAGTTGCAAAAGAACTTTCCAAAGTGGAACTATTCCGACAATAAGCTTAAAGGCAACAAGAAAACTGTCAACAGTCAACGAAAGAGTGTGACACAGTGAGGCAGCGACAGATAATCAATCGTTAAGGGGCCTGAAGGAGAACTTAGAATTTCAATTGGTTTTTCTTCTCAATCTCTATGTGGAATTCTTGAACAAAAAATCAGAAGAAAAAATTTACACCCTATTTTTATCACAAGTTAATTTTGAGCTTTGTTATCTGGGGTACGCCAAAAATGATGTAGTAACTCAACTACGCATGCCTGTAGTGTAGTTGACCCCCCCCCCGCACACACACACGCCAATAACTTAATACTATCAACTATGCCTGAATCCCAAATTAGTTGACCACAAAACAAAAGTGGGTTTTGAGAATATCACCCTTATTCTTTTCCAATAAACGTGGTACCTAGGCCAGCTTGCGCATAACTCAACTAACTCCAAACCAGTAAAAGTATCATGTGACTCTGGCATAAATTGATTGGTTCCACTCTGGAGTTTAAGGAACTTTTCATACTTGTTTATTTTCAAAATTACAACTTCAAACAGTTAAGAGTGGTTAGAGTCTCTCACTGGTTGGGGAACAAACGGGTAATGAACCAGGGGTCTGTTTATATGGATTTGGGAGATCCTCCCTTCATTAGCTAGCTTTAGGGGTTGAGTTAGGCCTACCTGTCATATCCATCTTTGTTTAGGCTCTCAGTCCACGCTCCAGTTGGTCTGTTTAACACTTCCACAGATGTGAAAAAATTACCTAATATTTTTTACTCCGCTACGATTTGAACATCAGACCTCATGATTCCTGACCCATTCATTGACCGCTAGACCACACCCTCCGATTAAATGTCACCCTTATTCTTGTCAAATCAGCACAGTATATAATTAACAGATAAGAGCACACTAGAAGGAAACAAAAAATGCTGAAAGAAATTCAAGAAAAGACCTTCTGAGTAATACAATGAGGGAATTGGGATTTTCCACTTTCTTTATCAACAATGTCTTCCTCATTCAAGAACAACAGATAACAATCAAAATTACTACAACTTAAACAAACAGAGCAAAAGGGTATCATAAAACTTCACCTGATAACTGTTTAGCTTATCGTTTTATGAAATTCTTTCACCGGCGGCAAAGTCTTTGCTGCCTGAGAAACTATCTTTATCCTTTTCTATCCAAACCCCACTTCAAATATGCCTCAATATTCACTGTTTGGATGCAAAAGCTGCAATCTTTTTCACTCTAGGGTGCAACTTGGAAGCTTTAATATAAGGGTTCACTGTAGATTTTCTCTTATTTTTATTAATATATTATAATATATAAAATTTGTTTCTTTTTCTTTGGTTTGGACTTTGGATAAGAGCCTTATTTGAGTTTAACTAATACCTATAGATGGTATAATTTTATTATTTTTGAAAAAGATATAAGGGGGAGTTCCCGAGTTAGATTTTTAGTTATTTTCAAAATAAATTCTCAAGATATATTAATTGAAATCTTATTTTATAAAAGTATTTTATTTAGTATATTGAGTGATTACGGAATTCTATTTGAGATCATGAATAAGGTCCAAGACTATATAATAAGGTAAATAAAATGACAGTTGTTTTACTAGGAAAATTTGACTTTCTCATAGCTTAGATGAAGATATATTGTGTTTTGGGACTCACCTCCCTCTTATTATACTTTATTTCAATTATAATACAAAGACTATTACTACTAGATTAATTTATAAAATAAATGAAGTAGATTAGTATCAACAAATCAGAGTGGCGCAGCGGAAGCGTGGTGGGCCCATAACCCACAGGTCCCAGGATCGAAACCTGGCTCTGATATACAATTCAGTGAGCTTCCAAAACCACATTTTTTCATCATCGTCCAAATTCTTTTTCTTCAACTCGGGCCAGATAGCCGAAAAACTACATATACAAATGTGTCATTCTTTTTGAGACGTGTAGTTTATGTGGCATAGTATAAAAAACTGACAGTAGTAAACAGGTGCTGGAAGTTGGCTAATTGAAGAGGTTGAGTTCAGACTTACACATGTGATTCTTAGTAAAGAAACTCATTCATAGTTCATATGGTCACCTTAATAAAAACCAGAAACCAGCTACATCAACCCAAAAACAAGATTACTAGAACGATTTTCGAATCAAAATGGATTGAGTTAACGAGACCAGCTAACTCCTTTTCATCTCTTGTCACAAGAGAGAAAGTAATCGATGAAGTAACAGCGAACGATGACAATAAAACAGTTGCCAGTGTTGAAATGAAGTTAACTGAATGCAGATGCAGTTAAAAGTTGAGCAACTTTATTATCAACACATGAATAAGGTGATTGCCAGGCTGCTCAATTTTCCATTATATTACTTTCCAGTTAATTACATTGAGAAGATATGGTAAAGAATTCGCGTAAACGCACTTTGAATTTGAACCTAACCAAAATGACCAATTCTCATGTCAGGCAGGACTACATCTCTTCAAACATTACACAGGACATAACAGCTTACGCTTTACTGTTGCTGAGAAGATGACTGCAAGAAATTCTACAGTTTAATAAGCAACAGAGCCACAATTGGATGCCTCGTCTTGCAAGGAATCGATAACTTCAGTAAGCTGGAAATAGGCCATCAAGATAATCTGTGTAGCAACCTTTGGCAACTTGCAGATAGGCCTTCACCTAGCAGTTACTCGAGACAAAAGCTTGGATTGTTTCGTTGGTCATAAAACAAATAAAGAATGGGAGCAGTAAGCTCATAACCAGCATCTGTTCTGTGGTAGAAGTTGCAGAACGTGATCGCCCAAAAGCAATTTCTTGATCCACTTACAAGGTTCACATGCCTAGACAGGGCTCTCAGAAAGTTTTGAGAAGCTATTCTTCTTCAGACTATTCTTCATAAGGTTTGCACGTGTTTTTCCCGAACTACCACATTTTATGTCCACGATTTCCACTAACGCCAGTCCCTTTCTATCAGGTTTCTTCCTAATAGGAGCTCCATCTACTGAAATGTTTTCTGATTTTAGTATAGGAATTTGAGGAGTTCTACAATTG